AGGTAGATGAGTCAATACGAAGGAAAAAGCCTGTCAGTATTTCGGCATGCTTGCTTCTATTTTCTCAAGAAAAGAGGAAGCAAGGTCATTGGCTGAAAGTGATGGTGAAGAAGTCCTGAGGAAAGAGAAGGCATAAAATGACTCCAGGAGAACGTAAAGTACGTTTAATACACTGGTCATATATTTAAGGAAAGGCCAGGCAGGCAGTTGAACAGGCGTGCGTACCGAGAACGTGAAGAGCTGGCTATGACCAAGGCTAGAGTTTGGCCAAGCAGAGAGAGGGAAAGGGAACTGAGAAAGCAGGGCACTGAATCAAACGATGGCCCAGGAATTGAAACTGTGTGAGGCAGCAAGGGTCTGAAGGAGGTGAAGGAGAAAAGGCAGTAAAAAGTTAAGATGGACAGATGGCATGAAGAACCATAGGGCATGGCACACTTCAGGCAGCAAGCTGGAGAGCAGGGTGACTGATGGTGAGACCGCACAAGAACTTGTCACCGCTAGTGACAGGCCTGCACTGTGGCCCCAGGCGGCCAGCGGCTGAGGAAGACCATCGAGAGAGGTGTATGGATGGTGGAGCAGGCTGGAAAGGTCATCCACACAGACACTGAAATCCCCAGTTGCGACAGGCATAGTGGCAGAAAGACTGATCAAAAAAAAAGAAACAAAGAAAGAATGATCATGAACCTTAAGGATGGAAGAGGAACTGTCTGGAAGGAGAGGAATGAAGGGAAAAGAGAGAAGTAATCAGGCCACGATCTAATGAGATGAGATTCAAAGTGTGTGAAAGCAGCAGAAGAGAACGAGAGGATGCCTGTCCAAACTCCTGCAGGAGTAAAGTAAGGGATGTGGGAAAGAACACAGCTACCACCTGCGAGGGACTGAGAAGCAGTATGTGCTGGAAGAGCCAAGTTTCTTCTAGCAAGAGGGAGAAGACTGAGGATCTAGGTGGCTCTGCTGCTGTAACCCAGCAGCTCTTAGATCTACATGGTTCCACATGGTATAAACAGAGTTTCAGGAGCTCAGGGACAGCGGGAAATCAGGTCAGAAATGCAACGTAGAGAGATGTGAGGGACAATCTGAGATGCAAGGGTCCTGGATATTCTGGGCTCCTTATGCTGACTACAGAAAGGGGGAGGGAAGAATGCAAGCACTACTCCCCCTGGCCTCAAGGCAGACAGCAAAGTAAGGCTGTGTGCTGGGGACGAGAAGGGCAGGAGCCTCATGAGGACAGTGCTGAGTCCTGGGACATCTCACTCCTGCCATGTAATGTGGACACTAGGGAGGGCTGTCTGCACCAGATGGCTAGAAATCTGGGGCTCCCCCCTGCTCCAGGAATACATATAACTCCCACCATCTATTTCTTTTGTTTTCAAGTATTCCAGTTCTGGATAAAATCTTATAGATCCTTACCCCTTGTTTTTCTCTTCTTTAGCCAACTCATCTATGATCTTGAGACTCAGAATTTAAATTTATCTGCTCAAGGTCTGCTGCTTAGAAGATGAGCAGTAAACAGAAAAGGGAGGACAAAAAGCCGAGCAGACCACTAACAGGATGGCTTCTTTAGAACACTGATTTACATTATAATAGTGTACAGGTTAGCTTTATTTTATTAACATATATTTTATAACATGTTAAATTTATTTTAATAACATATTAACATGTTTTATATTTTATAACATATTAACTATAGCTTTATAACTTTATAGCTTTATTTTATAACATATTAACATTCTGAAGTAATACTAATATTAATAAGAACAAAACTAGCACCAAAAAGTTATAAACACGAACAATGGAGAAGTCACAGGCAAGTATTCTATCAAAAAGCTATACTGATATTTTAAAAACTATGCATGGAAATTCAACTCCAATAATATAATAACTACCACAACAAGTTATATATCTTCCAGGAAAAAAAAGTGTTATGTTTTTTTCAATGATTGTGAAGCTGAGCTCAGAGCAAACCACGCTGATGTCCCAAAGATTCCTGTGATGTGCATCACACATCCCCACGCAGACCAAGAAAGCACACTCAATGGCCACTAGCAAACCACCACCATGAATTCTGGAGTAAATCACTGCTGTAAAAATTTTTTAATCTTCTATTATTATTATTCCTATGTTCTTTTCAAGAACATAGGAATATAGGATGCCTGGGTGGCTCAGTCAGTTAAGCGTCTGCCTTTGGCTCAGGTCACGACCCCAGGGTCCTGGGATCAAGTCCCATGTCAGGCTCCCTGCTCAGCGGGGAGTCTCCTTCTCCCTCTCCCTTTGCCCCTCCCCCTCCCCGCTTGTGCACGAGTGCTCTCTCTCTAATAAATAACAAAATCTTTAAGGAAAAATAGCCCAGAATAAAAAATATTTTAAATTCACTTTTTTTTATTTTATTATGTTATGCTAATCACCATACATTACATCATTAATTTTTGATGTAGTGTTCCATGATTCATTGTCTGTGTATAACACCCAGTGCTCCATTCGTACGTGCCCTCTTTAATACCCATCACCAGGCTAACCCATCCCCCAACCCCCCCACCCAGAACCCTCAGTTTGTTTCTCAGAGTCCACAGTCTCTCATGGTTTGTCTCCCGCTCCGATTTACCCCCTTCATTTTTCCCTTCCTATCTTTTTTTTTTAACATATAATGTATTATTTAAATTCACTTTTTAAAAATAATTTAAAATGCAAAATAACCGTTACAACAAAATACACTTGGCATAATACTGTATTAAATAAAACCCATGGGGATGACTTCCACTACTTACATTCTATGATCTATACTTTTTTTTTTTTTTAAGTAGGCTCCATGCCCAGTGTGGAGCCCAACATGGGGCTTGAACTCATGACCCTGAGATCAAGACCTGAACTGAGATCAAGAGTGGGACGCTTTACTATAGAACCATTTGTGTTACAAGCCTGTTACAGTTTTCCACCTGAAACAGTCCACAGTGCTAACAAGCAGCAAATAACAAAACTATAGCAACTATCCCAACATATCATTAAAGAGCATCAATAGAAAGACTTTAACAACCTACCAACAGAGCACTTAGAAGTGGTGCATGGCTTACCAAAATGGTAGAAAATAAAACTATACTTAGCATTAGCTATCATAACATGCTTAATCCTCTCCAACTTATATTTCTGTGCTAGTCAGGGTATTTTGTTTATTTGGGTTTGGCTTCATTTTGTAATATATCTAGCCTTCTGGCAACTACTTCTTTTTCAATTTCTTTAGATATAATGATTCACTTTTGAATTTGAGGAGCCAAAGGATCTAGAAAGATTCTGGAGGGACTTTTTCTTAAAGCGAAAAGTGGGAAAAGGCTATATTTTTGGTTTAGTTTTGTTTTAACTCAAATTCTTTAATTCATGGGGCACTATATATATATATATATATTTTTTTTTTTTTATTAAGTAGGCTCCACATCCCACGTGGAGCCTGATGTGGGGCCCGAACCCACAACCCTAAGATCAAGACCTGAGCTGAGATCAAAAGTTGAACATTTAGCCAACTGAGCCACCCAGGCCCCCATGGGGCGCCGTCTTTTACCCTTCCTAGCCCTCAGCCTCCTGACCTGTAAGAAAGACCATGTATTTCAGGCTGAAACGTAGGTGCACGCTGCAGGCAGCATGGCAGTTCAGGCATATTTATCACACGGCAGCACGATTACCTAAGTAACACAAATTTATTATAAATTTACTACTTTAATGAAATTTTATAAAGCTGACAGTATTGAGTGTAAAGTTGTAATTCTGAAATAAAATAGACTTAAATATTAAAATAGCTTTAATAATGTTAGAAGAATAAAAGATACATGTAGTTCCAGTCTAAAAGTTATTGGTACCAAAGGATACAATATTATTGCCAAGAATTCTCTAAAATAGATAAAATGTGAAATTCTTTGATTTAAGAATAAAGGTCTAAATGTTAGCAACACTTTTGAGTTGATGATTTAAATTCATTATTTGTGGGGCGCCTGGGTGGCTCAGTCGGTTAAGCGTCTGCCTTCGGCTCAGGTCATGATCCCGGGGTCCTGGGACTGAGCCCCGCATCAGGCTCCCTGCTCAGCAGGGAGTCTGCTTCTCCCTCTCTATCTGCCTCTCCCCCTGCCTGTGCTCTCTCTCTCACTCTCTCTCTCAAATAAATAAAAATAAAATCTTTAAATTCACTATTTGTAGCTTAAGAAAGTAGGTATATTTCTTCCTATTTCATACTTAAAATACCCTTCTATTTTATATCTACTCTTTAATTATGATCCTGAAATACAGTTAGCTATTAATAATCTGATCTTGGGGTTGGTTTTCAACATTAAAGAAAAAAAACAGCTTTGCAGGAGAAGAGAGTGCAGAGTGCAAAGCATTTAAGTAAAATAGAAAATTTACCCGAACTATATCATTTCTGTTAAACTATGTCATTACTCTTTTTTTCACTGGTTCTTCATTTGAAGCCAAAAGGATGAGTAAATAAAAATTAAACTTTAAGATCTTTGACATGCTTACTTGGTTATCACAGCTGATTATGAACAGCATTCCTAAATAACAACAGAGCTCCTAAGCATAACCGAGACTGTCAAATTTAGCACCTAGTAGCAAAAAGACATACTACTTTTGACCTTAAAGATTTCAACAGGAAAGAAATGAAGTAGGGATATTAAAGTCACTAAGAAAACATGCAAATTTGCAAAACCTCGGTAACTGAGTCGTCATGCTTAAAATACATAGCAGTAGAGGTGTGCCTTAGTGGCCAGTATCTCAGAAATGAACTCTCCTTGCTAGACTATAGCTAACCACAGCTAGGGAAAGATGGGAACTTGACCGCAGTGCCACTAGTCTTCAGCAAAACTATCCTCACCTGGGACGTTCACATGTTACTCTTAGGTCTTGACCTAGTGCATCAGCACAATGTGCTAAGAGGCTTGCATTTTTCCCCTCTCAATTAGCTGTCTTTTTTTGAATTAAATAATTTTTTATTGAGCTCTAACTATGGAATACATACGTACCATTTAGTCGTCTCTGGAGTGCTTCCTCCTCTAGGGTAATAATATAAATTTGTTCATCCAGGTCTTCAAGAATCTAAATTCAAAGATCAAACCTTTGACTAATGCAACATCAGAAAACTAGTGCTTATGAGAACACTTAGGTTATTTGGCCTATGACTCAGATAACCATTTAAAATCATTAGGAATTTAAAAATACTCAAACTAGTCTATTTATAAGTTAAGGAAAAACATTTTAGCATATAACTAAACACATCAAAGTTGACTATTAGAAAATCTACACATATTTAAAGGATTAAAGAACACTGCAGTTCTCTCAATGACAAGTAAATGTATGAATTCTCAACATCCAAAAGGCTAAATACAATTATACCTCTTACACCCAAACCAATATTTTAGAGCAAGAAGGAATAGATCACTCCGTCCAACATTGGTTTCTCATTTATATTTACCTAGATAATACTTAACACAAGAGACCTATAAACTCAGTAACTACCATACAATACTTTCCACTTACATCATCTGTATATAATAAAAATTTTCTGCAAATTATGAATACTGGTATTATCAAAATCATTCTGTAGACAGAACCCTAGAGAAATATTATGCTTGTATATACCCCACTCACTACCATACCATACAACACTAGTAAAAAACAAGAACCACTAATCAATCACCAATTATATAGGATATGACCTGCACTATCTTCACAACTGATAAAGCCTAAAATATATTTAATTCTAGCTTTGTTAACATAGCTATCCTTCTTGAAATGATCCTAAATATCTTCCTAGCTCTGGGGAAAATCTAAAAGAAGCCCAGAGCTGATATATTTAATATCATTCAAACCCAAACTACTTATTCCCAACAAAACAATAAATTGTGAGAAGTTGATGTACAAAGCAAAAGGGTAGAAACCCTATATATGTATATCCTTTCAGCTCCCTGATGAGGTATATTCATAAAAAGGAGTCTCAAAGCATGTAACTCCTATCAAATCTATCTAATCTACCTAATTTCTATAAAATTTATTTAGAGCAATCCAATAATTCCCAGTATTTCAACAAATATTGATAATCCCTATTATCAACAGGCTTAGCACTCACAGCAAAATAAAATAGTAAAATAAGAATAAATACTAACACACAAATAAGTAAGTACAAAAGCTGACCGACCTAGGAGAAAAGGGTGGGGTGACCCACTTCAGCAGGCCACCAGTGAGGGCCTCCCCCAGGAGACGACCCCTGAGTCCTAAATGGGAAAGACTGGGCAGATGGACAGCAGCGGTGCAGGCAGTGGACTGGGTTAAGTTAATCCAAGACAGGCTCTGAGCCTAAGGCAGGCAGGGGCCATATCTCTGTGGGTCATGATACCAAGTTTCTTTCCCATCAATATTCTCACCATTTCTACCATTTGGATCACAATCCAGTTTTTACTTTTCTTAAGGTCTAGCCCATACAAAAGATGTCCTCTTACAATGCAAACTATCCGTTAGTGACTTACCACCATGGGTCTGTCTTCATGTGAGTGAGTAACAATGAATGGCACACCGATATTTGTGTTAAATGCTTGTGTGCCTCATCCCCTTGACTCTACAATAATCCAATGAAAAACAGACTGTTATCATCCCCATCTTATAATATGCCAAGAAACAAAGGTTTGGCAAAGAAAAGTTATCTGCCTTTTGAAGCCTACACTCTTAAACACTCTGAGCTGATGGGGACCTAAATATGAGTCAAACACAGTCCTTGACCTCAAACAGCTTACATTCTAGTGTCCAGGAGAGACAGAATGAACTCAAAAAAATAATTATAGAGTTAAAACAACTGTCATAACTGAAGCAAAAATAAAATGTCACAAAAGTTCAGAGGAAGAAAGACCCCCAAATTCTAGGTGGGAAGAAAAAAAGTTTTGGCAAGTGTTTTTGCAAATAGTAGCCTCTTAGCTGATAGCTTAATTTACTAAAATGGGGAAAGGCATTTAGATCAGAAAAAAGCTATAAGCAAAACACAGAGGCAAAGAGGTGCGAAGTACACTCAGCAATAAAGTGGTTCGAGTATTCTGGAGCTTATGGCAGAACAAAACAGTGGTCCAGAGCCCAGGGTCTGTAACCAGTCTCTGGGTTCAAATCCCACCCCATCATGACTGATCTGTGATCTCGTACAAGCGACTTAATCTCCCTGAACTACAGATAATTCCAGCCATAAAATAAGACCACCACCTAACTTACGGGTTTGTTAACAGGATTAAATGAAATGTGCGTAAAATATAGTGCTTATCACAAACATAGAGCCTACACTGAATTGAATATCATTAATATTGGATGTTAGGAACAAGAAAAGAAGTGAAGATAATTAAAGTTTCAAGAATAATGTTAATAAAAGACAAGTTTAGGAGAAAAATCAGTTTGGGAAGGGTACTAGGTAAGTAGTTTGGTTTTCTATAAGCTGAGCTTTCAGCTCCGTGGAGTATTCGGGTACAGCATTTACAATGTGGTGTGGTTTGTTTTCGGTGTCTTTTGCTCCCTAGAGCTACACATTTAGAAGTGTCGTGAAAGTGGCAAAGGTGGTAAGGAGAACAGAGCAGAGCAACTTTAGACCAAGGACAGAACTTGGAACATTTGCCTATCTAAGGGGGCTAGGAAATAAAAACGGAAAAAGAGACCAAAAAACAAAAAGAAAGCTCTGTCAGAGAATCAGGAAGAAATTAAGAATGCAGTGTCATGAAACCTCTTCAAGAGGGAAGTGAATTTCAAGATTTGATGGCATGTTTTGAGTGTGTATACATTTATGTAGCAAGTTAAATAATCCAATTTTATTTTTTAAAAACATAGGAAAAAATTATCTGTCACTTATTTTTTAAAAATCTTTCAAAATTAAGCAAGCATTACTAAAAGAATAACTACAATATTTCCTCAAATTTTTCCTGATTAATCACCCCAATAGGAAAGACAAACATATAACCAAAATAATTTAATAGGTATTAACAAAGGGGAATATGAAAAGTGCAGAGAAAGAAGCTTGATTATTTCAACTTAAAGAAAAGGTGAGGCAAGGTTCAAGAATAGGCAGTGAGTGCAGCAACATCAGAGCCAGGCCCTGAGGAGGTGGTCAGGCGGCTAGAGCAGGCAGGGGGCACTGATGGGAGAAAGCCCCGGACACGCCTGCTAAGTGAAAGCACACAGCCCATTGTGAGCACAGCCCATCAGCTGATGAATGTGCAGTCAGAGCCAAGGGGGCAGGAGCACAGGCTGGAGGTCAGTGGACTAGGGAAGAGGCTGTGAGTCATTCAGACCTGAGTTTGTAGGCAATGAGGACCCATGAAAATTTACCCTTGTAAATGGCAAGTTCCTTAAATGCAACTAAGAATTATTTTCATGTGAGTGAATATTTGACAAAATAGCTAGAGGCCAAAGAAACTAGGGACAAATCATGAATATATGGCAACTCTGAGATTAAAGTGAAAAGTATAATCAAAATGTAACAGGCAGACAACTTCTCAGAGACAAAACTGCTCTATAATTCAAGGAATATATGTGGTAAATTTTGAAACATAACAGTTACTACTGATATAACAGACACCTAAAATACCTGTAAGTATTTGTAAATTTTGTCTTAAAATTTGCTAGAAGAATTTCTACCTGAGTGTCTACAGTTACTATTTTAAAAGCAAAAACAAATTTGTTTCCAAAGATGAAAAAGATTAAAATAAAAGCAACAATAACAACGAGGTCACAAGCCCACAGAAATACACTAATGTTTCTGATTGCTAATTCACAACCTAAAAGAAGATGTTCAAATGTAAACACATTTAACAAACAAGATGACACACTTACTGTTGGCTTCACCAGCAACTGACCCATCACTGTGAACATGCGGGAAAGGCCAACAGGGGTACACACTGCAGGAGAGGTCACAGAGAGGAGGCTGATAAATGGCTAGTGCAAAATACAGAACAGACTCCAAGACTATCGTTGTAAGAAAATTCTTGCCTCAAATTTAGATTCTCTCAGTGTTTTATCAGAGGAGTCTTCATCAATAAAGAAGCTAGAGGGGATGACAGGTGAAGGACGAAAGATACCTAAAGACTGAAGAAGGTTTAGTACGTGCAAGACTCTAGCAGTTGAATAACAGTATCTTCACTTAAAAATTTAAAAAAAAAACAACTAAAGAGCAGATTAAAATTTCAAGTGCTGATGGAGTTGAGAACCAAACAACTATTATCTTAACTCCTTTTAACTACATTTATCTGCTTATAATATCCCTGAGATATGCTGTAATGCCTCAAGTAAAACTGAATACATTTTAAATAAAGACCACAAATTCAGCACACAGGATTCGATGTTACCACTCAAGAGGAGAATCTAATGCTTCAGCGAGTGTGTGCCTGTGTGTCTCTCCACGAGAGAGGCTTTCCTTAAAGAACAGCACATGAGTTTTATTCCATGGCTTCAGTTTATCAAAATTTATCTTAACATAAAAAAAGTTAAGGGCCAACTTTAAAAACATCTCCAAGCTGTTAAGTAATTTCATCAGGAAACCTTACGATAATTTTCCAGAACAAAGAACTCCATTTTCCTATCAACATTAAGCCAGAAAAATACTTACGGAGAAGTAACAAACATCCCATCAGAGATATACAGGAATATAAATAGGGTAGGTAGAACTCCCAGAGATCTGTAAAGAAACACAAACATATTTTAGTAAATCCAAAATATTATACATTAAGATATAGGTTGACTATAAATTAATGTTTGATAAACATCATAATTGTCTATTTGAGTCTACTAAACCATATAATTTCTAAACTGTACAATAAAAAGATCTAAAATAGAAAAGGAAATAACCCTTTTGCAAAACCTGTTTGGAGGGAGAAAAAAAGTCTCCATGGAATTTTAAGAACAGAAACCAACTAAGAAACAAACAAAAATCTTAAAAGCTGCTTGCTCTTTCTGAATACAGCAAACACAGGAACACTCATTTATTTTCTTAAACATGTCTAAAGACTTGTTAACTCTGTAAATTAACAACAAGGGCTGACGACACAAAGAATTACTAAAACGTTCATGAACGCGAATGTGTAATTACACGCCCAGTTCAGCGTCCTGGAGAGAAGGTGACTTACCATACAAAGACTCCATGCTCGCTGCATCCTTGTCAATGAGCGCTGAGGCTACCCACACTATCCCAAGGATAAGGAGTGCAAGGAGGACAAGCATGACCAGAGTTTCTAAAATTCGGGCTCGGATTCCCTGAAAAAGATAATGGAGATCTAACTGTATTTTATTTCATCTCATGATTAATTAGGTTTCTATCTACAGGAAAGCACAAAAATTCTTTGGAAAGGGAGGAAATTTACATTTATTAGGAAGACAAAAAAACACTAGCTTTACAGTGTCATGTTTAGACTGCCTTTGTTTTACCAAATTATGTAGAATACCATCAAGCTTTAAAGAACCAAAACAATTCGTCATGAAAACATTTTTCAAAACAGTGTTTTAAGGGGTGCCTGGGTGGCTCAGCCAGTTAAGTGACTGCCTTCAGCTCAGGTCATGATCCCAGGGTCCTGGGATCGAGCTCCATGTGGGGCTCCCTGCTCAGTGGGGAGGCTGCTTCTCCCTCTCCCTCCCGCTTGTACTCTCTCTTGCTATCTCTGTCACTGTCTCTCTCTCAAATAAATAAAATCTTAAAAAAAAAAAACAAAAAAAAAACGGGTTTTAAAACGCAGGTTGATGAATTTTTGTCTGTGGTTCTAAGTAAGGGCCTCGAGGACGACTACAGTCCGGGGCCAAGTAGCCATGGGAGCGACGTACCCAGCGAGCACACACAGCCCCCAGTCCCAAGGCGCTAGCCCCCAGCACCGCTCCCGCAGCCTCCAGCGCAGCTGCCAGCGCCCCCACCCCCTTCCCCCACTCCCCCTCCTCCCACTCTCACAGCGCCAGTGTCCCCTCCCCCACTCCCACCAGTGCCCCCACCCCCTTCCCCCATTCCCTCCCCCTCCCCCACCCACAGCTGCCAATGCCCCCTCCCCCCTCCCACCAGCAGCCCCCCACCCTTCCCCCACTCCCCCTCTCACCCCACAGCTGCCAGCGCCCCCCACCCCCTTCCCCCACTCCCCCTCTCCCCACCCCTCAGCTGCCAGTGCCCCCTCCCCCACTCCTGCCAGTGGCCACCTCCAGCTCCGGTAACCCTCAGCACAGCCACCGTGTCCCCCCTGCTCCCGCCAGCAGCCCAGGGACTCCCTGAGCAAAGCCCGCAGCAGAAACCAAGGCCAGTGTGCACGGCTATCGATTACGTACTACACTTCTTTCTTCACATTAGATAAAACCGTCATTACTTCATGTGCCTGGAATATAATAAACCATCTTTCTGCACAATTTTGTTTTAAATATAAAACAAATTCTGACCTCAGGGCCAAACCAGAGGCCAGGCTTCTAAACTTGAAACCTATTGGACAAGGCAAACAAACGAATGAAAACAACCTTCTTATATTCCTGAAAAGTCACCAAATGATTGAATCCATACCTAAATTCAAAAATTCACATTGTTGTTTTATACTATAATGCACTAATGTACATGAAATACAACAAACAATATTAGAAGTAAATCCATGTCTCTCGATAAAAGAGTTGGAGGGGCCTGCTCTTACAGTCCAGTCTTACCACACAGGACTGCCCTAGGCCGGTTAAAAGATGTCCTCAAATGTGGAGTCAGCACACCTTAAGTGTTTCCAGCAAGGGAGGCCGGTGGACCAGAGTAAATGACGCTTGTATTTTATTTAACACATCAGATCTAACAGTAGTTATGACTCAAGTGAGATGAAATACAAACAGTCCCCAAACATACTACTAAAAAACACACTCCAGCTTTCCTGAAGAACTCTCCAAACCCACACTTCACAACTTTCAAACCACTTAGGATACCAAAACATGACCGCCACCCCTTTTTTTTTTTAAGTAGGCTCCACGCCCCGTGTGGGGCTTGAACTCACAACCCTGAGATGAAGAGTCACAGGCTCTACCAAGTGAGCCAGCCAGGTGCCCCAGACAGCCACCTTTTAATGGTAATTTCTTTTTTCCTTCCTTCTCTCTTTCTGAGCAATAGTCTTTTTTTGTAAGCAAGAATCTTATTACACATCAAATATTACATGGAAAGCTTGTAACAGATAAAAAGAACAGGTGCTCTGATGAGAATGTGTAACACCCTTTCAGCTTGTCTCTTCCTATCTCTGACTGGAGCCTGAATCCTGCCTGCCTCCAACCAGAACTTCGGAATATTAAGGGCGCCCAAAACACCTAACACATGTGTCTTAAGTGTTATGACATATGAGCTAAACACTGCAACCGTGTTCTGATATAAAACAGTAGTGATCCTTGGAACCATCTGAGACCCACTGTCCCAAAAAAGTGTTTTAATAATATAATTATTAAACAACTGTAACAATGTAATAATAAGTATATAATCATTACGATGATATTAAATGTTGGGGAATGAATCTACCATAAGATTTACACACTTCCTCTGATATTTTGGTAAGAAATATCTGTTGGCAATTAAATGTATTTTTCTTCAAATATGTTATTCTGCTTCAGGAGCTAATGCTCCACGGGTCTCTCTCATTCCTGTGCATCTCACAGAGGCAGGGATAGACCTCGTTCTGGACTTTTTTTTTTTAAGATTTATTTATTTTGGAGAGAGCGCGTGCACACATGCAGGGGGGAGGGGCAGAGGGAGAGGGAAAGAATCCCAAGCCGACTAACCACTGAAGGTGGAGCCCAACAAGTGGCTCAATCCCATGACCCTGAGATCATGACCTGAGCCGAAATCAAATTGGGTGCTTAACCAACTGAGCCACCCAGGAGCCCCTGGACTATATTTTTAAGGATGTCTGGATAGCAAACAGCCTTGGAAAATAGAGACGGTGTCTCTCTGAAGCAGGTCTGTTTTCTACAGAGCAAAGCACAGACAAATTTGCTTGAAGCCCATTTGTGGGTTCCCCTAAGTTTGAGATTCCTCAGCTATGACTTGAGCCCACTGTAGGAGCAGCCTCCACCTGAGCCACACTGCCCCTATGAAGCTGGTGGGAGGGGGGGTTGTCCCGGGGAACAGGAAACTCATGGCTTGCCTGTTCTGAGCAATGAAGTCCTTTGTCTCTGATCCAGGAGTCTCATGTCTACAACTACCATGCAGGAAGCTAGCAGACTGTCAGCTTGCAAGTACAGTAAAATCTCAGACCCTCCACAATTCTGGCAGCTTTGGGTGACAAGGGTAGGTAGCTAACATGGCTTTCTAGAGAACAAATAAGGGCTCACAAGGTTGGGTTAAGGGCAATGAGAAGACTCCCAAGATCTAGCAGTGAATGCTCTTACCCAAGCAGTAGGCAAGTGGGAGAAGTATGAGTCCCCCAAGGACCTGACGTGCTAATGCCTGTCAGAGGCTGAGCTACAGGCGGAGCTTGGTCATAGCCCCTTCTCCCAGAGAGGAGGGGTGTTAGCATGTTCGTGTAACACCAAGCCCTACAAGGCCAGCTAAAAAGACTATGATTACGAGGAACTATTTTTCTTGTATACTTTGTTGTTTTCTGTATTTTCCAAATTTCATAGAGTGAATTGCAGGGCTTTAAGTAATATGAGAACAAATTAATGTTGTTTTTAATTTTTAATTTTTTTCTTAAAAGAACTAACTTCCAAGAGATTGACACTCAGAAAAATAATTTTTAAAATATCCAAGTTCAGTTTATGAGACAGTATAGCGAGCTAGTTCAAGACCCTAACTCCAGCAACAGACTGCTTGTGTTCAAAGCCTGGTCCCATCACTGACCAACTGTGTAACACTGTGCAAATTTCTAAATCTCTCCGTGCATCAGTTTATTTCTTCGTAAAATAGGTTTATCCCTACCTTATGGGGTCATTATAAGGATCAAATGAGTTAACATAAGTAACATGCTTAGCATTAGGCTAGGTGTTTAGTAAGCACAATATAAGGGTTAACTGTAATGGCTCAAATTACTGCCTTTGTTTTTAAAATTTCCAAGGCTTTGTAGTTCACCTATCATTTGTGTTTCTGGATTAAATTTATTTCTCCTAATGCCAGCTTATCAACTTCTTCCCATCTGTCACCTATCATTCACAGACCTGTAAGAAACAATCTCATGTTTCTTGATGATATGAACACCGGGTACACAAGTATTTCTTATCATTTCCCTTGCCATGATGATTAACATACAAGCTCCTAATGAACTTAACCTCCCTGCTACTACAGCCCAGCACATCCACTAGCCTCACTCCCTCATCTCTCAGACCCACCTCTAAGATCGCAGACTGTGAGACTGCTCCATATTTCTCTGATACCTCCAGTCCTCTAACCTACACTGTGTCTTCATCATTATAACCTCCACTCCCTGAATCCACCCAACTCGGTTTTCACTTGCTTAAACCCTATGTTGAACTGTGTATTTTAATGATAATCCAGTACCAATAATATTCTAATATTCCTGGTCCCTTTGATTTCCACCAGACTACCTTAATTCCACTGGTGGCTCATTCCTTGAATTCTCAGTCCTGTGAAAGAAATTTACAAAATCTTGAGAAACATGTGCTACAACATTCCAAAGTGGGTCTTTGCTGTTACCTGGCAATACTTATGCTGATCTCTGGCTAAGGATTCCCTCAATGATTTTTTAAATGTTTTCCATTCTCCTTGACCCTAAATCTCATCCCTTGCTTTTTAGCAAATTGCAGCTGCCCTTACCTCTTCCTTAGTAGGACATAACTGGGGAGACTGCGCATCCCTCAGCTTCCTTCCCCTATCTCTGGTTTCTCTGTCTCCGTTCTTCTTTCTTTCATTCTTTATATAAAGGAAAATGCCTCAGATCCCTTTTCTCCATGGCTCAGGCTTAGATGTTCATCCTTTCAACATGCCGGATCAGTGCTTCTCAAACTTTGGCATATGTCAGCATTACCAAGGGGCTTGCCAATCCCTGAGAACCAGCCCAAAGACACTTCAGTCAATTCTGATGAAGCCAGTTCATGTGATGAAGACACCAGATAGACTGCTCTATTCTTCCCCTAGGTGATCTTGCCTCCTCACGTAACCTAAATCTAAATCTAAAGTTTCTATCTTTAGTCCAAATCTCACCACTGAGACCAAGATCCATACATCTGAGCTGCCACCTCCCCTCAAGTATCTCACAAGTACATAAACTTAATTCTAAAGTCAAACTCATCACTTTATCCCCTAAACATGCTCCTTC